TTCCCCGAACACCCCAGCCTGTTGGCACCTCACACCTCAGTGCAGTCCCTTGAGCAGGCCTCCCTCTCGTTCACCTGGTAGATGCCCAAGACGCCTTGGAGACCAGCTCAAGAGCCCTGTCCATTGGCTCTCGCCCACACATGATCCCCACACTGCTGATTCCTCCCTATTTAATACTATATAATCATAGTATTTATATAAAAATAATAAAACACCATAACACTTTCAGCTCCTGAGAGGTAAGTTTTGCAGCCATCATCATTTCCATGGTCCACCCAGTGTCTCCACAGGGGAACCCTCAGGTTTTTCCACAGCTAGAGACAACAGCCAGCCAGGCCAGGCCTGGGCGTCCGCCATGTGTCTGTGTTTTCACAACGGGGATTCCTCTCCCGCCTTAGCGTGAGAAACAGCTGCTAGCCATATGGTGGTCCCCTCTCCCTCTTTGCATCAGTGCCTGCAAGACCCAGATCTACCCCTGAAGCCCCTCCTACAGAGGGTAATTGAGCATGAACTGCACCCCTGGCTTCATCCTCTTTGCTGCCTTCAGCCCATATGGCAGCTCTCATCTCTGATGTCATCAGGAGTGGGGGTGACAACGACCATGGCATGTGGAGGCAGATGATGGAGCTAGACAGGCAAGCTGTGAAATGCCAAGAGTCCAACCAAGAGGGTAAATAAGCTCTAAATCACCAATTAAGAATTGGCTTGTGCTTTTTTCTTTTTTAAAATTTTATTTTAATAGTTGTTGCAGTACAATTTTCTATCTTTTACGCCCAGCCCACCCACCCAGCCCTCCCAAGAATTGGTTTTAATTAAATTTTTAACTCTCCCCATCCTCCTCCAACCTGGAAATTCAAACCTGAGCTCAGAGGTCAAGATTGAGGAGACCTTCATTTACACCAGACCAGATGGGAAGGAGCCTCATGCACTGGAAAAATAACAGCTCTTTAGTCGGAATGATTACTGGTATTGTTACTGTGGGAGAGTTTGGGAAAGAATAAGTTCCTAAGATAAACAATTTCTGATTTGGGATTGTTTTGCAATAGGGACTTCTTATACTTTAGGACTTCTGACTCTTTTGCCCCTCTCTGCCTTAAGTGACCACAGATGACCTCCTCATCTTAGTTGGGGTTTCATTGACCATTAATCACTGCTATACCCATGTAATCACTTCCTGCATTGGTGGTGGTGGTAATGGTGGAATCAGTTGTAGAGGAAAGCATGATGATAGGATGTGTAGTAGTGATGGGGGTGGGAACACTAGTGGTAGAATTGATGCTGATAGGGTGACTGGAGTAGTGATGGGGGTGGTTGGGGGTGAAGGATGAGGGGCATGGGGCCAGGGCTAGTGGTAACAGTGCTGTGGTTATGAGGGCGGTGGTGATGACGAGGATTATATAGATGATACTGATAGGGAGATGATGAAGATGTGTAAGCTCCCTGGCAGCAAGGATCTTGTTAATTATTATGTCTTCAGAGCCTAGTGGAGGTGAGGGCGATGGCGATGGTGATGGTGGTGACGATGGTGGTGACGATGGTGATGGAGCCTAGTTTGGGAGACAGGTATCTGTGATTTGAGTGATGAATGCTAGTAATGCTGGGTAATAGAGTTAGAGGTGGGTGAGGGAGATAGAGGTGACGACTGTGATAAAATTGATGGTGGTGGTAATGGGTGATGTTTCACCACTTTGGGTTTAATGGTTCATAGAATAAGGAAGAATGCAGAAGATGCCACCAGGGACTGATGAAAATGAGCTTGTATATTTCCTCCTGACCTACAGCCAAATTGCCATGACCATGCTGACTCTCCACCCACATCACCTCATCACCTCGGACAGTGATCAGGCTCCTGCGTCTACTGAGGACTTAGAAGGTCATTCTGACCATGCTTCAATATTGAGTCAGTCTCTTGTCCTGGTCTTGTCTCCTGAGTAGCCATTGGAAAAATCTCAGCAGGCTGCAGCATCTGATGATCAGAGACGTGACACCCTCCACATTCTCACCTTGGTCTCTTCTCCAAGGTGTCCCCAAGGAGCCTTTCCTCCTTATGAACAAAGGCCCCTCCAATGTCCCTGATTTTATAGCCCCTATCTGGCCCCAGACTGAGAAACCTTGCTCAAACCACTTACTTCTCTGTGCCGCTGTCCTCAGAGAAATATCTTTCTGGGGGAGTAGGGAAGGGGTCAGCCAGGAGCTGGTCCCAACATGTGGAGCATCTGGAAGGCCCTGACTGAGCCTTGGGAAGTGAGTGTCTGATGAGGTCTCAGGCTCCTGGAGAAGTGGGTGGGCGGGGTTCTCTGCACTCTCTAAAGCCATTCCCCTGCCCCAGGCCTGGTCCTGTCCCCTTCAATGCCCTCTCTGCTCTCTGATTCATACCTGTGACCACCACACTGCCCACAAGCAGTTCTCACACCTTCACACTTTCCTTGCTCACGCTGCTCCCTCTGCAAGAATATCCTCTCCTCCTGATCTGGCTAACTCTTACTTGTCTTTCAAAATTCAGTCTAAGCCATACTGATCTGAAGGCCTTCCTTGAAGCTCCCAGTCTCCGCCTGAACCTCGTGTATCAGTGCACACAGCACATGTAAAGTGATAGTTAATTTACAACCACCTCCTTCATGGCTCACTGTGGGTCGTCTCAGTTCCGCAAAGTGACCCTTGTCTGGCAGCCTCTGGTACACGTGGGGCTCAGCAACAGCCTGCAGAATTAGCTGAATGAAAGATTGAACTAATCCTTAATGAAGGATTGAAAAAATGCAAAATAATGAATGAAGGATCCATAGAATTCTTTTATTCATCCATTCTTAATAATAATAAAATAAATTTAAAATAGAGCAAGATACCACTTTTCATCTATTTGATTATTATGGGGATTTGACCTAGAATTAGACTTGGAGAAGTAAGCAAAGATCAAAGTAAGGATATTAATTTTGGCACTATTTGAAATAGTGAAACATTGGAGGAAAAATCCAATGAAAAATCAACATGTAGCTGGTTGAATAGAGTATGCAATATTCATGCCATTAAAAGGAACATAAGGATCCTCATACATTATTGGTGGGAATGTAAAATGGTGCAGCCACTGTGAAAAAGTTTGGTAATTCCTCAAAATATTGAACACAGAGTTACCATATGAGCAACCAATTCTATTTTGGATATTTTCACAGAATATATACCCAAGAGAAGTGAAAACATATATTCACACAAACACTTGTAAACAAATGTGCAATGCAGCATTATTCAGAATAGCCACCAAATAAAAAAAAATCCATGATGAATGGATAAACGAAATGCAGTCTACCCATTCGGCGGGATGTTTTCAGCCGTGAGAAGGAGGTAAGTACTGATAAACGCTACAACATGGATGGAAAGGAGGCAGTCACAGGAACCACATATCGTATGATTCCAGTTATGTGAAAAGTTCAGAATAAAAACTCTACATAGAGATATAAAGGAGTAGATTAATGGTTGCTTAGGGCTGGAGAGGTTGGGGGAAATGGGAGTGACCTCTACTGGATGTGGAGTTTCTTTTTGGGGTGACAGAAACATTCTAAAACTGAGCGTGGTGATGCTTGCACAGCTCTATGAATATACTACCTCTATGTGACCATATTCACAGATAGGGGGCTTTTGTGTTTTAGTTTACATGCTTTTAGCATTGCCTTTTTACTGTAAACATGCCCCACTTTTGCCATTTTGAAACAAGGAGGAAGATGGAAGCATGCGAGCACCCCACTGAAGGCTGGTGGGTCAGGCCTCAGAACGCCCTCCCCTCCGCCCCCGCATCCACGTTGGAGAGAAGGGGGTTCCGGGAGGCCACTGCCGGGGAATGGAAGATGGTTACCGGGGTTCTGGGATGTTTGAGCTCTGTCTGAATGGTCTTCTTGGAGGGAGGGCAGGACCTTGGCACCGGGGCTTCTTTACAGCTGGGCCAGGAGCCTGCCTGTGACAGAAATTTACATATCGCCTGGATGAGACTCACACTTTGTGTGCTTAGGGTTCACGTGCAGAAGGTGCAGCAAGTCCCCGCACAAAAGCCTTTCCCCAAGCTTTCCTCCCAGAAGCAACTCAGGACCTCTAACTTGTCTGAATAGGGGAACATCGTACACCCAGTTGTTTGACGTAGTCTGTCTTCGAGACCAGTCTGTAGGTGTCCACAAACAGCCGCCTCCTTCGCCACAGAGCCCCCCATGACCCACGGTGGGCTCCTATCAGGTGGGTGACCACACTCCGCTGCTCAGCCCCACAGACAGACATCTAGGTTACATCTGACCGTTTGCTTTCGCAGGCCCCCAGTCTCTCACCCAAACCGTTGGGATCAGGTTTCTTTTAGAATTCAGATTTTACATACGTGTGTGAGAGTGCGTACGTGTATTTAGAAAGGCAATTCAGTGACATTCCATGCATTATGAAACCCCCTAATCGGATCTCAGACAGCAAACATGTACGATAGGTGAAATTAATAAAGACTGCAAATGGTCTTGTCAGGTTTGGGTAACAAATGAGTTTGTGCCAATCTAATGGGAAAACTGGTTTTCAGAACTGTTTGGGCTTCAGGGTCGCAGATGTGGCTTTGTGGAGTTCTACAAAGAATACCGCACTGAATAATTTTAGACACACAATTTTGTGTTTGTAAGTATACACATAGGATACATTTCTAGGACTGCCGGGCCACAGGCTGTGTTCATTTGTGACTTTCATAGATTTTACTAGAATAATGACCATCGTTCTTCCTTGCCTGTGAGCTGCTGTCCTTCATGGTTCTCCAGACACACTTTTGTCTGTTAACTTCGGGGCAGTGAAAGTTCTCCCTCCCTCCCTCTCTGGCTGTTGGGAGAGGCACCCAGAGGAGCTGAGAGAGTGCAAGCTTTGCCCTCAGAGATAGCAGGGCAGCCCCTTGCACCTGTGTGACTCTGAGCAAGCTACCTGCGCCCCAGAGCTTCCACGTCCTCTTCTGCAGAGCCCATCTGCCTCTGTGACGGCCCCTCCCCACTTGCCCACCAACCTGTGCTCTGCTCTCCTCTCCTGCCCACCGCCAGGCCAGCTCCTGGGCTCTGCCCTCTCTCCCGAAGGAAGAAGAGTCCAGGTCAACAGAAAGGTCCACAGGCTTTTTAATGGTGTGATGGCTACTTCCCTTCTGAGACCCGATCTAATCATGACAGCGGCTTCCAGGGTGTGTGTGGGGGCGGGTGGGGGGTGAACAGGTGTAGGGTGGGCAGAGGCCATGCAGTGACTAGGATGGGGTGGGGGAAGGTGTTACATTCTGTTTGGCATGTAAACATTCTTCAGTGGCTTCTCTGGGAAAGGGGAGGGCAACTCCCTGCCCCACCCCCACCCCTGACCACCAGAGCTGGTCCCTGGAGCTGAGAAGACTGAGCAAGCCAGGCCCCTGTGAGGGGCTGGGAAGGGGGGAGCCCATGTGCCTGGGGCACAGCCCCTCCCCTGCATCCCCTTGGTGCACAGTGAGGCAGGGGAGGGAAGGCGTATCCCGGGGTTAGCAGCCCCGCATCTGAGCCAGTGACTCAGGTTGTCATGATGAGGAAGTGCTGGAGGGGCGCAGTGGTAATGGTGGCATGACATTCTGTTACAAAGAAGGGGCTCGGGACCCACGGAGCTTGGTGGTAAGGATGGGTGCTCAACGGACAAGAGGCTGCAGCGGGGGTGGGGCGCTGGGAGATGTGGTGTCCTCTGCCCTTGCTCTTTCTGGGGAGAGAAACAGAGTCCTCTAGCCTCCTCCCACATTCACCCCTGCTCCTCCTCCCCAACCTTGGTGACATTCAATGAGGCAGAGGCCTGAGATCAATTGGGAGCCCTAGGGAGGTCTGGTTTCCCAGGGACAGACAGGGTTTTGCAGCTCTGCCCAGCTTCAGTGCTGGGTGAGGCTGGGGGGTGAGATGGGCCTGGGCTCTCTCAGGTCACCCCCCTTTCCTCCCAACACCAAACCAGGGTGCTGTTGGTCCTGGGTCAGGGGTGAGGCTGGGGGCCCTACATTCACAGTTCGGTTGGTGGCAAGGAACAGGCCCAGGACCTGGGCACCAGGGGTCATGCCCTGGCCCCACCTGGCAGGAGCTGATTGTCATTCAGAGAAGCTCTAGGTGGGAGGGAGTGGCCCCTCCTCCACCCCCTCCGCTGGACCCAGAGGGCAGTAGAGGCCTTGGGAGGGTCTCGGGTTGACAAGGAGGGCTCTGTCCAGAGAGGTTTCCTGAGTGTTCTGGGAGCTTCTGTGTCAGCATGGGGTGGACCTCAAAGGCTGTTCACCCTGGAGTCCTCCCCTAGGCTGGTCTGCAGAGAAGCCACCACCTTGGCATGGAAACAGCTGCCCAAGCCTGCTGCCTTGATTCTCCGTGAGGGGCTTCCACTGGCACCAGCAGACCACTCCCTGGGCAACTCCCTCATGGGCATCCTTCTAAGCAATGGTCGCTGGGTGCTGCCGGACCACTTGGGCCTGCTGGGGCCTTCCTTCCTCCTCCCACGGTGGTCTCGCCTTGCTCTCCATGACCCAGGGAAGAGCAGAGGGGGCGGACCAGGGGACACAGGCTGTGGATGCTGAGGATGGAGGAGGCCTGACAGGGACCTGACCCTGACTGGCAGGGTTGGCTGGCCCTTCAGCAGCCACAGTACTGCTTGGCCCAGCCGTGGGCAGCTGAGGCTCATGATGAGCTGGGATGACAGTTATGCAGAAGCCCGGCCCAAGAGGAGGCCCCTATCCATTTGTGGAGCTGCACAGTCCTCACCTTCTACAGGGACAGCTCAGCCGCATGGCTTGCAATTAGAACAAGATGGGACAGGCTGACGGGTAAACCAGGGGAGGAGAGGCCTGAGCAGGGTCCACCACATAAGCACACAATCTGGAAATTAGAAGGGTCTTTCTGCCTTGAGTCCAGGGGCCAGCTGTTTGTCTGTGTATCTGTTTCTGCTCTCTCTGCCCACTGGGGGAGATGCCGGTCACAGCCAGGAGAACAGGGAGGGTGAACTGGCCAGAACTGTGTCCCTGAATCTCCAAAGGGCCAGCAAGAGATGATGACCAGCCATTCTCCACCTCCACTGAAGCCAGGAGAGGAGCAAGTTGGCCGAAACTGCAGTGGGCAAGATTGAGGTTAGATGGCAACAAGGAATTCCTGATGGTGAGGGGTCCTGAGCACTAGATCAGGGGCCAAGGGACAGGTGAAACTTCTTTACAGACCCTCCTCCAATTTCCTGCTTGGCCAGGCAGGCTGCCCACACACACTCTATGGTTCCCACTGAGACCCCACCCATATTTAGGAGGAGGAGGGGCTTTGCACCTCAGAGGTGCAGGGGAGTAATCCCCACTGCCTCCTACAGGGTGTCCAGGATGGAGCTGCTTTTGGAGCTGGTCATACCTGCCCCATCACACCTGAGTAGACCAGTGGCCTCTAGGTCCCACCTCCCCAACCCCAGCCTAGCTACTGAGAAGAGGTCCCTCCCAGGAAACTGTGGGGTTGACCCCTAGGGGAGGCTGAAGCCTCCACTTCCAGAATTTGAGGCTGCCTTTCTGAAAAGGGGGTAGGAGGGCTTTGGCTGGAAGAGTGTTGGGAGTAGGGAAAGGCTCTGTAGGTGCAAGCAGAGGTGAGTTGGGGGGTGGAGCATGGAGAGCAGCAGAGGCCTAGTGGGTGAGCGGGGTGTCCCCATTAGCGGAGTCCTCGGTAAAGAGTGGCTGAGCCTTCCCGGGGCGGAGGGTGAGCCAGCCCCACCTGAGGGGCGGCAGGAAGTGGGAGGTGACGGGAAGGAAGGGGAAACGAGCGCGACCCCGGCGACACGGCGCCCCCCACCGGTCGGGCCCGGCAGGCGGGAGGGCGAGGCGGGTGCTGGCGCGCGCTGGTGCGGATGCGGGCGGGAAGCTGGGGCCGCGGGTGGCGCGCGTGGGGCGCGTAAGGCTGTGCTGGGAGCTGTTCCAGTGTGGCCGACTGCAGGTTGGGGGCTGGAGTGAGGGTGGGAGGCCGCGCAGAGCCCCGCGCATCATTATCTGGCCCCGGCCCGGCCCTCCGCGACACTTGCCCGGCCTTTGGTTGCTGCGCGCTGAGTCTGGAGTTTCCCTCTGGGTCCTTTCTTGGGGCCCCCCGGGGAGGGGGTGCCTTCAGGCTCGGGCCGGGCCTGCGGGGCGCCCCGGGATGGAGGGCCCCCGGGCCGGGCCTGGTGCGACGGAGAAGGGCTCTCTTTTCGGGACAGGGACTGGCTTCGGGGGGACGCGCTGGGATTGCGCGCGGTGGAGGCTGGGAGACCGGGACTGCGAGGGGCCTGAGGCCTGGTGCTGGCTTGGGCTCGCCCGGGGCCATGGCCGCGTCCAGAAGGCTGTTTGGGGCGGAGGTCAGCGGCAGTGGCCGACCCTGGGGGCTTCTGCAGCTGGAGCCTGAAGGAGGAGGGGAGGACAGAAGGCAAGAGAAAAGAAGGGGGGGGCGGGGGGGAGACATTTTCAGAATCACACAGCCCTGGAGTCCTGTATCCTCACACCTGGCTGAGAACATGGCACAGATGGACAAACAGGCCTATTGCTCCATCCTCTAGGGCAGGACCTGGGGGGCTGCACACTCCCAGGCTGGTTCAGAAAGAGCTTGCTGCAGGCTTTCTTTGACATCTATTTCATCTTTCAAATTCTCGTGGATTTTACATTCTACTCCATAATATACCCATGTTCATATTGATATGAATAATGTTTTTTCCCAACTATTCTGGGCTCTATCCTTCGGCTTCAGATGCCCCATGGCACACCGGAGGCTGTGTGTGGGCCCCACTGTCCACCATCAACCTTTCCCAAACTGGCCTCCTTGGCACCCCTCCCCTCCAGGCATGCTCACTGTGTCCCCTCCCTTGACCCCAGGGGCAGGCCTGGAGCCTGAGTCAGAAGAGAGACTTAGTTGGGGAGGTGGTGGACCAGAGGTGTAGTTGAGGGTCCCTCCTGAACCTCCCACAGCCCCTGACCTCTGGGGCAGCCCCTGCCGGTGGAGGCTTTCTGTGGCCACGCTCTGCCCACCGTGGGGCTGCCAGTGGTTTCTCACCTGCTGGTGATGGCTGTGTCAGGTGCTGGGGCCGAGCCATGGGGTCTGCCAGGGGGCTGCTGGGCCTGGGCGGGTGTGGGCATGCGGATGCTGATAGGGCGGGGGATCCGGCTTCGGGTGGTAGCTGCCCGCCCGGCCTTCCTGGGCACCGAGGGCTCTGAGGCGGGCGTGTCCTCCTCGGAGCCCGTGCCTGATAGCGTCTCAGAGGCGCGGCACTGCTCCTCGCTGGAGGAGGATGAGGCCCCAGAGGCCAGCCGCAGTAGCAGGCGGCCCTGCCTCTTCTCCATCACCAGCCGGGCCAGGTCCTGCTGCGGTCTCGCCCTCTTGCCCCACCGCTCTTTGGCCGACAATGAACCCGAGGGCTCCGAGCCCGTGTCCTCCTCAGACAGCAGGACAGGTATGCGGCTCCTGGAGCGAGGGCCCGGCATGGCACGGTGGCTGGGGGTGATGGTGGCCAGTTTTTCGGGGCCTGGTTCCAGCGAGGATGCTAGGGCTGGCCCGTCGGCAAGGGATGGGCCATTGGGCAGTGAGTCCATGGCCATCTCCAAGGGGGTGCCCCCAGGAGGGCCAGACAGGGCACAGCTCTCCAGCCCTGACGGGGCTATCCCATTCTCCAGGGGCACAGAGCTTCCCTCCTCTGCAGCCCTCCCATCAGAGGGCACCTCCAGGCCCAGCTCACCGCCAGAGCTGAGCTCCTCAGGCCGTGAGGCTTGTCCACCGGAAGACATGACGTTGAGGTGGGTTTTCTCTGCAATGTGCACAAAGGTCCTCTCGACTTTGGTGAAGGGTGAGGAGGTGACTGCCACTCCCCCTGCCCCTGTGATCGCTGCCGCGGCCCCCGGTCCTGTCCCAGGCCCGGGGGGCTTGGGCTCAGACTTGAGAATGGAGGACAGGGTCCCTGGCTCAGACACGTCCAGCTGGCTGCCGGCGGGCTGCGGCCGCTCGTGCTGAGGAGTGAGAGCAGCCAGAGTGCCCAGGTCTGGGTCAGGGGCCAGGTCGGCAGTGACAGGCGACTTCTTCATGTCGCCAGGGGAGACGAGCACCAGCGTTTTGGAGCCCTCCTCAGGCTCCAGGTCCCCGTCAGCCATGGAGGCTCGGCCCCTGGACTCCTTCTGATCGTCGGCCAGCAGCGTGGATGGGGCGCCCTCCTGGCTCCGGTCAGTGCTCCTCTCACTCCCTTCGCTGCTGGAGCCACTGTGAGGCCCCAGCGCCTCCCCCAGGGCTACCGCCTCCTCCTCCGCCTCCTCCTCCTCGTTCTCCTCCTCTTCTTCCTCCTCTTCCTCCTCCTCCTCCTCTTCCTCATCTTCGTCTTCGTCCTCATCCTCGTCCTCTTCCTCCTTTCCATTAGCTTGAGGCTGAACAGGAGTCAGTGGGACCGGCGGGGTGGTGAGCAGCATGTGCGAGAAGCCCACCCTGCGGACCCTGTTGAGCAACCGAGCCCGTTCTCGGTAATCGGAGAGGTCTTTCTTGAAGTCCTGGTAGGGCAGGCTCAGGGGCACAGCTCGTGGGAGACCGTTCACCTCAAACGGGGGTGCCACGGAGAACACCTGCAAGGGGCACACACAGGGACCCGCTGAGGTCACCCACCCTTCCAGGCCCAAGAAGACCTGAACTGCACCCACAAACTCAGGAGGCCTGTGTGCCCCAGTGTGCCCAGAGTGTGAGCTTCGTGAGGGTAGGCACTGGGTCTGTTTTGCTCATTGCTCTATCCTCAGGGCCTAGAATGGAGCTCAGTAAATCTCCAATGAATGAGCATGTCCGTCCATGCTCCAAGTCCCCTGAAGTCCCAGGCCCTGATCTGGTGGCTTTTCTGTATCTCAGTCTCCCATTTCCCTCACTCCTCCTCTCCCCGCATGCACCCCGAAACCCAGAGCCCCTCTAGTTCAATCAATAGAATAAAATGACCATCGCAAGGCAGATCAACCCTCTCTTTTACAGATGGGGAAACTGGGCCCAGAAAGGGGCCCTCACTGCCTGCTCACAGGCTGCAGCTCCTCTGCAGCCAGGGAGCTGGCTGCCCAAGGCCACTGGAACCTGTGTGGGAGGGACAAGACAAAGTTCAGGCTGGGCCACTGGAGCTCCAGGACCCTTGCCTTCTGCCTCTTCCTGGCCTGTCCACCAGGAATCTTCCAGATCTCTGCAGGTGTTTTGAGTTCACACTTCCTCTAGGAATTCACAGCCAACCTGTGAAGAGCAATTTCTTTTCATTTGATTAAGTTTTCCCTTTTGAAGCCTTGCACAGAATCCTTGGCAATTTGACAGCCCGTTCTTGGTTTCCTGAGATTCCTGCCACCCCTCCCCTTGGCCTCCTTCCTTTCGGACTAGAAAGGCCTGACCACCTTATCAGGACCTCAGCCGCTGCACCTTGTCCAGCTCTACCTTGCGAGTCCGCACGCATCCCCAGGCGCCCACAGTGTATCAGGCCCCATCCGGGTGACGTGGCTTTATTCCAGGTGTGATGGCGCTAACACTTGTTAGCCTTTTTGAACACACTGGGCCTCCATCTTCCTAAACACAGCCCATCCAGACCAAGAGCTCCAGAGGTACCCTGATACCTCCAACACCTTTAGGCGCCATCTGGACTCTCGGGGAGTCCTGCCAAGTGTCCTCTTTGACACCTGTGCCTGCAGCCCCAGCCCCATGGGTACGACCCTGTCTTGCCTGGTAGTTCCGCGGCCACCAGCCTGTTTTCCCCATCCCACACTGCCTCATCCGCCCATCCCACAGCTGCCTGAGAGAATCTTCCGGAAGCTTAAATCTAATCCCATCTCTCTCTGCTTCAAACCTACAGAAAACTCCCCGGCCCCCACAGTCCTCAGGAGACAGTTCTAATCCTTGGCTTGGTGCAGGAGAAACCTCATGCCCCACCCTGCCCCACGATCTGCTCCTCCTTCTGCTCCAAACTTCCTTCCAGCAGCACCTGCTGCTCCCTTGCCCCACACCCCAGCCGTTCAGATGCGGCCAGTAGCTCCCTAAATGCACTACACATCTCACGCTTCTGGGTCTTTTCCTAAGCAGTTTCCTCTGCCCGGGGACCCTTTTCACCCCTTCCACTCACATGAAAAATTCCCGTTCTTCCAGGACCCAGCTCAAATAGCTCCTCTTCCAAAAAGCCTTCTGGTCTGCCCACCAAACAGACTTCATCGCCCTCCTTTGTACTTGTTTTCCCACCTCCTTCCACTAGAGAAGGAGGATCAAACCATTGGGTGAGGAATTGATGGACAAGGGTTGGGGTGCAAGTGGTGCAAGGGTTGGGGTGTGAGTGGTGCAAGACAGGGAACCATCAGACCCTAGACGGGACCTCAGCACACTCTGTCTGAGCCGGGCAGGAAGCTTCCTGAGAGCATTGTCCCCTTCATATCCTGCCTGGGGGTCCCCAACAATTGTTTCCTTTTTCTGCACCATTTACTTTTTTATTTATCCATTACACAAACATTAGGCACTGTTTCCGTGCCAGGCCTTGCGCTGGGGCCCTTTGCTAAGTTTAGTTACCAGCATCAAGGATGGAGAAGATGACTGGGCAGAGGTGGACAGGGTTGCTGCAAGCTCCGGTGTTTTGGGGTCCATGGGGCAGCTGCCATCACTGAGAGCCAGGGGCAGGCAGGCAGATGGAGAGGTCTGATCAGGTGTCCCTTCGGCCCAGCTCAGCGCTCACCCACTCAGCACGACACATCCCACCTGGCAGGGATACCCTTCACCGCCACCAGGCACCCTTTCTCAGCAGAACCTCTGCCTGTTTTCCCTGCCCCATCTCTGACACTTCGGCATCCCTGGCAGACCACCTTTTCCTCTGGCCAGGTCCTAGATCTCTCTGAGAAAGCCCCACCCCTAGGATGGGGCCACCTCTCACAGTGCCTGGACTAGATGGTCACAGCTGGAACCCTCTCTCCATCTCAAAGCGCTCCCCTTCTATTACATGGGAGGGAGCGGGAATGAGAACTGGAACTCGGGCATTGGTGGTAATATCAGATGGGAAAACACGCCTGGAAAGACACACTGACGTGCCCAAGTCACGAAGCCTGTCAGCCAGGCTGGACCAGAATTCCTTCCATTGCCTCACTGGCCTCCCACCCTCCCAAGCAGGGAAACCTAGGTCCTCTGCCCTTGAGCAGGGAGGGCTGTGGACCTCACAGTGGGGAGAGCTTTGTCCTAAGGATCACTGCCAAGCCCACCTCCACCTGGGCATGCTGGGTTTTCTGTTTTAAGATCTCTCGGCCCCGCCCCGTCTGGCTCCATGTGGGTCTCTCCTGGATGCCTGAGCCCAGGGAGCATTCATTCATCCACTCACCCATGCAATCCAGCGCTCACTCACTTGGCCAGCGACCACTAGGCAGCTTCTGTGTACACAGCCCTGGAGGCTGAGGTCACAGTGAGAGGGGGACAGCAGTGACACCCGCCCCCCCATTCCAGCTCAGAAGGAAGCGAGAGTGCTGGGTGTTGACAGGAGACGTGGGGGTCTGGAGAACCTCACACCTTCCTCTCCCTTCCCAGGGCAGCAACCTTTTATGATTCCATTTTGTTTATGGTGGCTCTCCAGCCTGGTTTCACACAGCATTATTTGGGGTTGCTTCTTAAAAATACAGAGTCCTACCCCCGAGATTCTGTAAATCAGGGATGAGGCCCAGAAATCTGTCTGTTTAAAGCTTCCTGGTGATTCTGCCAGTTTGGCAAAAGGCAGATGTCATACGGGTAAATCACGGAAGGGAAGGCAGGCAGTTAGAGCTGAGACACTCAGAGGGAAGGCCCTTGCCCACTCCCTGCCTGGACTGAGCCCAGACCAGGGGGCTATGGCCTCATTAGCATCAGAGCTCAGCCCAAGTCCGTGTTTCCTCCAGTTGGCAGGAAAAGTGAGGGGAGCTGGATGGAACTGACTCCCATCTTCCCCTACCATCGACACAACTGGGCTCTCTTCAGCCTTGACTTCTCTGACACTGACACTGGGGACAGACTACCCCACACCCCGCCAGCCCCACACAGTGTGCATAGAGCAACTGCCCTGCCTGGACCCGGCCCCACCCAGATACCGCGCACCACGTGTCAGCACACAGGTCCCAAGGTCAAAGAAAGGGGACTGCTGGGTGACAAAAGCAGGAGAGTGAGCCCTGATGCCCACCTTTCCCGCCCTGGGTAGGCATGGGGAGAGCCCTGTGCCCCTCAGAGCAGTGCCCCCATCTTTCCTCAGCAGCCACCAGGTACACACCCCTCATCGCCCCTCTCTCCCAGGGGAAACTACCCCTTGCCTTAATTGCCCAGCCTGAAAACTGGAGAGAAGTGAAGTGTAGCCTCCTTTGCTCACCGCCGCCTTTCCCAGATTCTGTCTGTTTGGGTCTCTGCTCCCAAACCGCATCTGCCAAGCCAAGAGCCTTACCTCTGTTCCTCCACCCCACGCCCAGGAGCGGCACCACCCGACTCACTGGCCGGTGACAGTCCTCTGGGTGGGAGGGGTCAGATGACATGGGGAGGTGCTGCCTACTCTAGACCTAGACAGACCTTCACACTTGATCCCCCCGTCTCACTGTCCCCACCCCATCCCTGCCCACCCCGGGACAAGACGAGGGCAGCCGGGGGTTGGCAAACCGGGGGCATTCTAAATGCTCTGGAGGTCCAGAAATGCAGCCGTGCCTTGTCCTTTTGCTCCCCCCACATTCGCTTCAGGCCCCAAGGAGAGAGGCGGTTTCCTCTCTCGGCACTGTGGCAGCAGGCCTGCAAGGGCGGGGTGGGGATCCGGGAGGAGGGGGAGAGCCCTCCCGCCCCTGCAGTCTCAAAAGGCTGTGCAACCCTCTCCTTCTCCGTGTCCCCTCGCTCTCATTGACCTAGTTCTCCCTCAGCCCACATGCTGCCCTTGCACCCCCACTCTCACCGATCTCCCTCAACAGACCCTTCTCCTAGGCCAGAGCCACCTCAGATATCCAATGAGAGCAGAGGGGCAGGGAAAGGCTCCTGTGGCCGCCTCACCCAGTTGTCTGGGAACCTGGCTTCCCGCCCCACCTCCCCCATGGATTCAACAGTCTGATCCACACAGAAACGAGCAGGGGGCTCACACTTCTCCTCCTGGCTTTGGCAAGGTGGCAAACTAGTAAGTTTGGAGTTGGGGCCCAGAGACCAGAGTCAAGCCCCAAGCCCCTCCTCCAGGGGAAAGGAGACGGCAGGAAGGGAGAGAGTTGCTCAAGTCCAAACAGGCTGAAACCGCCTGGGGACCCCTGCCCCGCCCCCTCAGCCCTGGCCTCAGCGGCGGGTTGGGCTGGGGCTGGATCCACTGATTTGGAATTTGGGCCCACCCCATCCTTGGGTCAGGGAGAGATTGGCCTCTACCCTCTGCCCAACTGGGGCACTCTAGAGTTGGGGCCTGCGGGCGGGGTGGGTGAGGAAGGAGGTGGGTGAAAGAAAGCAGGCGAAGCCCAGGTTCCTGGAAGGCGTCTTTAATCAGAATTTGGTAGTACACAAGCTCTCCGGATTGTCTGCATTAACATACAGGGACTTAAAAAGGCACAAGATCCCTCGCACAGCGACGCGCGTTACGGCGGGGCGCCCCCATCCCCGCCCGTGC